TTTGCTTCCTCTCCCTGGTCTGCTGGAGACCAGGGAGAGGAACCCCGTTCGTAACTGCGGATCCGACATAAGTCGGATCCGCGTAACTCGGGGACTGCCTGTAATACATTCTAAACGCATGCATTTAAATCAGTGGGATTAGTAAATGTATTCAAAAGCAGAATATGTCATTCTGCATTTATAGGACTACATGCATATGGTGTAGAGAAACATGACTTTTTCTTTTTCCTTGCCCAACACTAACAAATCATATTCAGAGAGAGGTAAATTGAGTCCTACCAGAAAAACAACTTTTTAATCTAGCTCTTTGTTCAAGCAATGCCACATGTCTTGCATGAAAGAGAAAGAATGAGAGACAGCATTAGCCCAAATTTGGTGAGTTTAGGGACAAGATGGTCAATTGAGCAAAACTTCAATTACAGACTAATTTAATGTAGACCCAAGTACATTACTGCAATTCAATAAACATCTCTTTAGATTTAAATGATCGCAATTTGCTTTCATTTCAGCTGTGTGCACACATTTAGAATTTATTATTAGCTGCACCAAAATTAGTCAGATTTTTTCAGAAACACTGATCCATGCAATCCCAAAGTGACATCTCTGGTGCATGGGCTTAACTTCATATCATCCACTGAAAATATACCTTCTTAGGAAAAAGGAGCAAGACTTGGTAAAATGATACTTCATCAACCCTTAACCCTCACTCCTTTTCAGTTCTTCTACCACCTGTCGATCTAGGTGCCTGTATAACACCAGCAAAAAAATTATCTACAGTTCTTCTACTAGGGTATATCTACACTACCACCCTAGTTCGAACTAGGGTGGTTAATGTAAGCAACCGAAGTTGCAAATGAAGCCCGGGATTTGAATTTCCTGGGCTTCATTTGCATCTTGCCGGGTGCTGCCATTTTTAAATCCCCGCTAGTTTGGACTCCGTGCCCGCGGCTACACGCGGCACGGAGTAGGTAGTTCGGATTAGGCTTCCTATTCCAAAGTACCGTTACTCCTCATGGAACGAGGTGTACCGGTAGTTTGGAATAGGAAGCCTAATACAAACTACCTACTCCGTGCGCGGGGATTTAAAAATGGCGGCACCCGGCAAGATGCAAATGAAGCCCGGGAAATTCAAATCCCGGGCTTCATTTGCAACTTCGGTTGCCTACATTAACCACCCTAGTTTGAACTAGGGTGGTAGTGTAGACATACTCCTAGATACTCCATCTATTGGTACTTACCTGTATTCGCACAATATTCTTGCCGGCAAGTTAAGGGAATGTGGATTGGATAAATGGATGAATAGATGGATAGAAAGCTGGCTAGAAGACCAGGCCCAGTGGGTAGTGATCAATGGCTTGATGTCAGGATGGCAGTCAGTTTCTAGTGGAGTGCCCCAAGGTTCGGTTCTAGGACCGGTTTTGTTCAATATCTTTTGTGACAGAGCAGGAGTGATACAGCAGGTGAAAGAGCTTGACGGAAGGAGAAAGAGGCAGAGAGAGTCAGCAATCCTGGCTAATTATGGGCAGCTGAGACAGGGTGGCTGCAAAATCAGTTAAGGCACAGGTGAAACTAACTGGGGCTGCCTGGAGGCCTATTTACGAACTCTTCTTGTGAGTGAGGTGAAGAGAGCTGTGAAAGAGTATGGAGAGTGGAGGAGGAGTTTGGAGAGACAAAGACATCGGAGGAGCCAAGAGAACGGCATCAACCTTGTTAAAGACTACAGGGAGACAACAAATCTCAAACCAAGGTGAGTGAGCCATATGCTGTGACTCCTAGACTGTGCGACAGTGGGCTGAACAACGGTCAGGGGCCCAGGAGTGGGACTGACCCTGCCATACTTTATTAATGACCTGGATGAGGGGATGGATTGTCAGCAAGTTTGCAGATGGGAGGAAAGGTAGATACACTTGAGGGCAGAGACAGGGCCCAGAGTGACTTAGACAAATTAGAGGATTGGGCCACAATACTTGGGACGGAAGAATCCCAAGCATTGTTACAGGCTGGGGACCAACCAGTTAAGTAGCAGTTCCGCAGAAAAGGACCTGGGGGTTACAGTGGATGAGAAGCTGGATATGAATCAAAGGTGTGCCCTTGTAGCCAATAAGGCTAATGGCATATTAGGTTGCATTAGGAGGAGCATTGCCAGCAAATCCAGAGATGTGATTATTCCCCTTTATTCGGCTCTGGTGAGGACACATCTAGTGTATTGTGTCCAGTTCTGGGCCCCCCACTACAAAAAGGATGTAGGGCATTGGAGAGGGTCCAGTAGAGGGCAACCAAAATGATTAGGGGGCTGGAGTATATGACCTACAAGGTCAGAGGAGAGCCTGAGGGCAGGGGCGGATATACGGCAAGGTGAACAGGGCGGCCGCCCCGGGCCCCGCGCTTTAGAAAGTCCCGCGCATGCGCTGTGGCGCCGCTGCGCATGCGCATGGCATCACTGCGCATGTGCCGTGGCAAAGGGGGGCGCCGCGGAATTATGCTGCCCGGGGCCCCGCAAAACGGTCATCTGCCCCTGGCTGAGGGAGTTGGGTCTGTTTAGTCTGCAGAAGCAAAGAGTGAGGGGGGATTTGATAGCATCCTTCAACTTCCTGAAGGGAGGTTCCAAAGAGGGTGGAGAGAGGCTGTTCTCAGTAGTGACAGATGGCAGAACAAGGAGCAATGGTCTCAAGTTGTGGTGGGAGAGGTCCAGGTTGGATAATAGGAAAAACTATTTCACTAGGAGAGTGGTGAAGCACTGGAATGGGTTACTTAGGGAAGTAGTGGAGTCTCCGTCCCTAGAGATCTTTAAGTCTTGGCTTGACAAAGCCCTGGTTGGGTTGATTTAGTTGGGATTGGTCCTGCCTAGAGCAGGGGGCTCGACTTGATGACCTTCTGAGATCTCTTCCAGCTCTATGGTTCTATGATTCTCTGATAAAGTAGGTACAATTGTTTTACCTTCCAAGGTTTCTGATCGGGAGACTGACTGGCACCTCCCTAACTAAGTTTTGCACCTAATATTTTTTCCTCTGTAGGCTTGCTTTAATACATTGTGAAAACATATCTGCTGCAGCTGTCTAGTTCAGACATGGATGACATCCTACTTCACGCAGTTTGATTCTGAAGTGGGCCAAGCACCCACGCCCACTGACCTCAGTGGGACCTGTCAGAATCAGCACTTGGCAGGATCAGCCCCTTCATCGACATACTTTGAGAACTACCATACTAACTTAGCAGTGGAACCAAGATTAGAACTTGAGGCCTCCCGTTTCCCAGCCTTATACTCATTTTCCTCCATACCACTGCCAAAGACTGAAGACATGTTGATATCTAGAATGCTTCCCCACAAATACTTCATGATACAGAGGATATATATCACTATATGGGTAAGTCTCATGGTAGGCAAATTGAGACACAATAACCTTTTATACATATATAACCAACTACAGGTTTTCACACTGGGCTGCATTTCATAGAAGTCCAACCTTAGCAGCAAGAATATTTTTTGTTGACAGCTGTCTTTATTTAAATATTCACTCCTTTTATTAAATATGTAAAATCAAGTAGTATTAAAACATTCACATTTTGTACATAGCTGCATGGTATCACTCAGTCCCTTTAAGGGGTTCTGAGACTGAACTATATTGTTGCAATGTCTAGACCAGTGTAATCAACCCAGATTCAGGGGACAATAAAGGTGACTTCTGAGCTCTCCTCAGGTGCACCTCAAGATCTGGCCTTCAGTAGATACCCTCTTTCCCCATCAAGGTAAGTTAAAATCAGATATACAATTAACATTTTCAGATTTTGTTTAAATAAAAAGTCAGTATGATAAATGAGTTTACCCAGCTCATCCTGTGAGCTCTGAACCTGCCACATTCCAAGCTCTTTGAGCAAAGAAGGACTGTATATTTTGGTAGCTCAAACCATCCAACAAAGATGCATGGGTCTTTTCAGGCACATTGACACAGGTGAAGCAAAATGCAGGACAATGTAGCACTTTAAAGACTAACAAGATGGTTTATTAGATGATGAGCTTTCGTGGGCCAGACCCACTTCTGAGGAAGTGGGTCTGGCCCACGAAAGCTCATCATCTAATAAACCATCTTGTTAGTCTTTAAAGTGCTACATTGTCCTGCATTTTGCTTCACCTGTGTCAATGTGCCTGAAAAGACCCATGCATCTTTGTTGGATGGTTTGAGCTACCAAAATATACAGTCCTTCTTTGCTCAAAGAGCTTGGAATGTGGCAGGTTCAGAGCTCACAGGATGAGCTGGGTAAACTCATTTATCATACTGACTTTTTATTTAAACAAAATCTGAAAATGTTAATTGTATATCTGATTTTAACTTACCTTGATGGGGAAAGAGGGTATCTACTGAAGGCCAGATCTTGAGGTGCACCTGAGGAGAGCTCAGAAGTCACCTTTATTGTCCCCTGAATCTGGGTTGATTACACTGGTCTAGACATTGCAACAATATAGTTCAGTCTCAGAACCCCTTAAAGGGACTGAGTGATACCATGCAGCTATGTACAAAATGTGAATGTTTAGGTGATAATCGACAGCACTGGAACAAAGCCATGGCTGCAGTCCTCCTCAATTAGTATCTACGGCACCTTTACAGATTATTTACTTGTGCCTTATTGTGTACAGTTAGAGGACAAAGCTGAAATCTAAGGATGGTGAAACTGTTTCATGGGAAAAAATAGAAGTCTGATTAAAAATAAATATGCATAATAGACATAATTAAAGGGATGATAAATGGGGTGGTAGCTAGAGAAAGTTTCCCTTCTTCATTCAGTTTTTAAAAAGAGCACTGAAACTCTTCTCTAGTTTACACCCAATATTTTGCTTACCTTTAAAGTGCTATGAACTAATGAGGGAGGCAGATCTTCAGAATTGTAAATATTACACACAGAACAGCTTCCACTTGGGAGAAAACAAGTGCTATATTCACACACACACACACACACACACATAACATGCATGATATAGGTGTTGTTGGGCTCTGGCCACCTACCTTTCACAATTAATTCTGCATAGTTTGAAACTCCAGAGCCACCATCTGAGCGAATGACACACCGGTATTTGCTGATGCTGCGCTGAGATGTGTCTGCTACACTGACTGTGGCAGAAAAACGTCGGTGATTGACCACTCTGGTGACCATTAACGCAGTGTCCCTTCCATTCCACTGCTGCCAGGGAAACCAAGAATAAAGCAAGAGATGAGGATGTGGCTGCAAAGCTTGTTTTTTTAAAGCTACTGTCCAATGTTTATTATATTTTATAATAACAGTTACACTTTTTTATTTACCTGGATCTACTGGATTCCCATTTGTGTGCACTCACATGCACTAGTCCCCAGGGCTGTGTCTACATTGGCATCCCTTTCCGGAAAAGGGATGCTAATGAGACACTTCAGAATTGCAAATCCGCCAGGGATTTAAATATCCCCCGCGGCATTTGCATTTACATGGCTGCCGCTTTTTTCCGGCTCAGGGTTTTTGCCGGAGAAAAGCGCCAGTGTAGACGCGATTTTCCGGAAAATAAGCCCTTTTCCGGAAGATCCCTTATCCCTTATTTTAAGAGGGATAAGGGATCTTTCAGAAAAGGCTTTATTTTCCGAAAGATTCGCATCTAGACTAGCGCTTTTTTTGGCAGCCATGTAAATGCAAATGCCGCGGGGGATATTTAAATCCCTGGCGGATTTGCAATTCCGAAGTGTCTCATTAGCATCCCTTTTCCGGAAAGGGATGCCAATGTAGACACAGCCCAGGAGAGTCAACAGCCTGCATGGGTCCCTGGTCAAAGTGGGGGGCTGGCTCCATGCTCCTCAAAATAGCAGGGCCTCTTTCGGAAGGGAAGGGTTGGGACAACCAGCCCTCTGTGCCACCCAGAGTGCAGTACATCCTCCCCCCAGCCCTAAGAGCCACATGAAGCACCTGGAAGAAAACACTGGCAGCTGCCACTGCTGCACTAGCAGTAGTGGTGGCCAGGAGCCTCGGGCCCCTTTGAATGACCAGGCCCTGAGGCAACTGCCCCCTTTGTCCCCACCCCGTCGGCAGTCCTGTCCACTTCTAACCCTATTAGGAAGCTTAGATCTTAAGTTTGTTACTGTACCTAGACTTCTGGTGTGATGATGGAGGTCATATGGAGGGATAAGACCCTTTGATTCCGAATCCTAGAACAAGTTGGGGGCTGGTTCAACCGCATAGTAACACGTAGCAATCCAGGTGCTGCAGGGGCAACCCAGGGGGAGGGTCTAGAGCACAAGGTGTAGCCAACTTTGTACCACCTGGGAATCCAATCTAAAATACCAGCTGCCCCGTTAGGAACATTTTTCCAACTGCTTTTTCTGCTGATCCTGAGCCTGGGATCAATATGCTCTGGGGGAGAGATGATTCCACACGCAATGGAAATATTCTTGATTTTTAAACCTGATTTATTTTAATGGCAAGTGTTTATAGCTGCTTGGGCATTTGATCTGGAAGGATAACTCTGGGGAGATTGGTAGGGGGAAAGAGCAAGCGAGATGATCAACGGTGGTGCATGATTATTATTTATTCTTGTGCCACAAGATCATTTATTTATTTATTGTTTGTTTGTTTTTGTGATGGCAATAAGGTTACTATTAGAGCTCAATTATGCAGTCTTTGGCTCATGTGAATAAGTTCTATGAATAAAGGTTGGAGGATCAGGCTATATGTTTACTATAAATGACTCCAATTTATTACAATTTTAGGTGGCTCCACACAGCACTATCTTGAACTCTGAATTATGACTTTAAACAGCTTCTTCAACAAAGGAGTTTGGAATTTTGCCCCTATCTCTGCTCTCTTCATTTTTAGAGCCCACAGATCTCCGCTTTATATCCATAGGTATTCACATCTGCAGATGTGGATGTGGATAACCACGGCTCAGTTTTTGCAGATGTGGATGCGAATACAAATTTTGTGTCTAGAACGCTGCAAATTTGCAAATATCCACAGATAATTTTTGCAAATGAGGATATCAGTTTAGTATCCACTCAGGGCTCTACTCATTTTGACTCTGGATGGTTAGAAGGAAAGTCCACCTGCCCAGACTTCCTGGCACTTTACCTGGAGCCAGAGCTTGTCGTGCTGAGACCACTTCCCTCCAGCAATACACTGGAACGTTGCATTCTGTCCCACATTAACTTCCACATTCTGCAGCCGCAGGAAGTGTGGCGCTTTTCCTAAATAAAATAAAATGCAATAAATAAACAACAACAACAATGATAATAAATAACAATGATTAAAAAATGCAAAGTATTACCCAGGTAGAGTATGACAGTAATTAACAGTGTCATGCAGCAACAGGAAAATCCAGATCAGAGGGAAATGCCAGTTTTTCCATTGACACAGTGACTTCACAAAGCAAAGCCAATCAGTAGAGTTTAATTATTTTGCATGAAGAGATTGATCTTATGTGATAAAGCCCAGATTGGTTGTGTACCCCTTTGGCACAATAAGAAAGTACACTAAGTATCAGTTTGACAACAGAAGTTCACAACTATTTCTAACCAGCACTGTTTCATTACTGTTTCCTATAATCAAAGAGCAATTTCTTCTGACACGGGAAAATGTCAAAATTTAAAAGGTCAAACATCCAAATAGTGAATTTGCAGTGTATGACACAGGAAAGTTTTCCTAAGGCCTTTTTGAGTTCACTGCTTGTGAAGCAAAACCTTGGAGTTTCAGATTTATATTGTTTCGCTGTTAGATTGTAAATGTCCATTTTCTCAGTCACCAAAAACAAAACAAAACAAAAACAGGCCATGCATACACCTCCTGAAAAGATCACTGACTTTTAGGGCCAAGCAGCAAAGCCTGGCAGTTTTAGATCTAAGAAATGAGAGGAAAGTAAAGTGTTACAAATTGAGAATACAAGGCAATGAACTTTATAATCCAGCTGACCATTTTAAAACGAAATTCACCTCTGCAGGTTGCCAGTACAGGGTGTACATACCACTTCTATTCCTGGCTGTAAACTGTTCTGAAATTTATTCTGATTTTATTATTAGATTTAGAATGATTTTTAAAGATCTGACCTATTATTATACTAGACTTTCAATAGGCCATGTAATTTCAGAGACTATATTCACCTAGATTCCCAGTCAACCTCTGTTAAAAGAGAGTGGGGACCTTTAAGCCTTTATATATGCAGAACAGGTAACAACATCTCGATACCTATTTACATACACATATGCAGGTGCAAACAAGTTTGGCAGATATTAATAGAGGCCAGTTGAAAAGTTGGTGGATTGTATGTACATACCTATCCAACAGAATAAAGAGTTTACCATTCACTTGCATTGCAAAGAGTCCAACCAACTGACCTAAAGTATCATTACATTGTGGTTTGTATAGTTGGTCAGTAGCTGTTGCACAGTGTATTGAGAAACCAGCCTTTGGATGAAGGTGGGTTATGGGACTCTATTACTGGAAACAGAGACATTCACACAAGTAAACTAGGTGCTGCAGCAGAGAGCAAAGTGGCTGGAGAACTGAGATATCTACTATTCCCTTTTAATATATCAGGAGGGGCTGCTTCTTTGCACTTCTAATGATTCTTAAGCTTGTCTCTGCCACACTTAAAAGCAACAATTATGTGAAAATAAGGGCTAATAATGTCAAACCCCTCCCCAACACAAGTTTCCCAGCAGTGTTCTGAGTAATAACTAGTAAAATGAATGTGAGGGGCATAAGCCATAAAAGTTCATAGAATGTTCACTAATATTCCATGATGACTTTAATTCCTGGACCTCTGCATGTGACCCTAAGGCGCAGAGAGGTGCCAGATTAGGAAAGACTGCAAAGGATTTATAGATTTTTATACCATGCAGGTTGAAAAAGTGCTCCGGGGTATGATATGCATTGTTGGGTCACATTATACACCTATCAATCTCCTTTTTAACCTTGAGCTTAACACTCAAAAACACAAGGACGGCCATACTGAGTCAGACCAATGCTCCATCTAGCCCAGAACCCCCTCTTCTGACCATGGACAATAAAAGAGGTTTCAGTAAGAATGAGCAGAACGGGGCAATTTTGCATGAGCCATCCCCCATCGCCTATTCCCAGTTTTTAGTAGCTAGAGGCATAGGGAAATCCAAAGCACAGGGTTGCCACATGAGCTGAACTCTTCTCTAGTTAGGAACTCAGAAGTTGCCCATTGTTACTGGCCAAGTTGTGATGTATACAGGCAGTCCCCGAGTTACGCAGATCTGACTTACGTCGGATCCGCAGTTACGAATGGGCTTTTCTCGCCCTGGAGGATGGGAGTAGCGGAATGCCCAGATGCGCCGCGGTCCCGCCGCCCGCGTCCTCCGGGGCGAGAAAAGCTGCTCCACGTCTCCCTGGTCTGCTGGG